TCACTGGGAAATCGGCAAGACCCAGAGAGAAATTGAGTGCCTTTATGTGGGCATCATGTATTATAACCTCAGCAATGTCTCCGTTTAGTGATAAAAATTTAGGTGCATTCACTGAAACTACATGTATAATACATTTACCTTAATACTTGCTTTACCAAACTACCCGTCTGTGTAACTGACGGCTGCTGACTTCATTATCAGAATTGACTAAGCTAGAAAGATCAACTGAACATAAAAAGATTGCTGTCCTATGTTTATTTTTCAAAGGTCCTAAGGAGAATATGACCATCAGAGTGGGAAGGAAAATATCAGTGGAGGCACAATCAAAAGTTTGTCGCTGTTTGGCAAGCATGCTCAGGACACAGTGACACTAAATGGAAGAACTGTGATCCCACAGGAAACCTGGGACCTTAATCTAAATTTTAAGCTTTTTTATTAAAAAGCTCAACATCTGCAGAAGTATAGAAAATGGTATAGTGATACTCCCACAGACCCATAATCTAGCTTTAACACATGATCTATCGTGTTCCACCTATCCACTCATCTGCCTGCTTGTCTCTCATCCAGGATTATTTTGAAGCAAATTCCAGACATCATAGAATTTCTTCTGTGAAGTATTTTAGTATGTATCTCTGAAAGCTACAAAATCTTCTTTAAACATAGCCATTACACTATTATCATACTTGAATAATTTTTAATATTAAATATCATTATTCATTTAATTTTGTTTTATTAACTTCACTTCAATAATTTTTAATGTCAGCTAGCCACTGTTCAAGTTTTCCCGATGATCTCAAATATTTATTTATAATGTGTTGGCTTGAATTAGTATCCAATGAGAGCCATATATTACAATTGATTGATATTGCTCGTAAATCTTTTAGTTTAAGGTTTCCATTCATTTTTTTGTTCTTTATGATTTATTTGCTGGAGAAACTATAAGTTCCCACAATCTGGATTTTTGCTGATTGCAGTGAGGTTTAACATTCATTATAACTTAATTTCCCCCCAAACAAGACCCAGGCGTGCTTCCCAATAAAATAACCTAAAGACAAATCAAAACAAAAAGCCATCTGATTGTCTCTACACAGGAGCAGATGCTGACAAACTCAATTCAGAAAGTGCCAGGAAGGGGAACCAGCTACACTGATTAAAAAACCAGGTGTGACTCCAGGCTGTTCCTGAGCCAGCCACGAGCACCAACGCCTGGAGATGAGGTGTGGAGGCTACCAAGAGCGGTGACTGTCTTCTGTCTGAGAAGAGTTCCCAAGTGTTCAAAACTGCATCTTTAGAGAGGAACAAACAGTGGTGAAGGAAGGAGGCTGGGGGCGGCGTGCTCTTGAGTTGGCCTCAGCATGTTAATCAGTTTTAAATCTGCCACCTAAGAACTAACTTCTCAGAGTCCGGAGGGGGCGGGCAAAGGCAGTCCTGTTGTTTCCCAGAGAGACGCAGGTTGGACTCTGAGGACAAAAGGCACTGCTCCCGGAGCCCGGACACTGGCAGGACTTACCAGAGCACAACCATTTCAGTCACAGACTGGTGACAGGCAGCCTCATATAAAGACTGTGCCGTCAACCCCCTCCCCCACCCCTTCTCCCCACTCCACACCTCCCTCTGGACAGAAAACATGTGCGCTGCTGGTTTTCTAATAATGGGACACAGTTGGCTACAGAATTTGGAGTAAAAAAAGATTTGACCTTAAATCCCAGCTCCTTCTCTTAAAAGCAGTGTGGCCTTAGATGACCTGCTATATGTGCCTGTGCCTCAGTTTCCTCTTCAGTTAACAGGGGATACCATTACCTGCTTGTTAGAGTTGTGAGGATAAATGAGTTATGGGTAGAGGCCTACAGTGCAGTGCCCAGCACAAGCTCATTATATGTTAGCCTCCCCCGCCACAACCCCCAAAGATTTCTACCACTCCATTCCCATCCAGATCCTTGCAGAGAGCTATGACAGCACCTGCTGGAAGTCTGGCTGAGTTACCCATGCCATCTGTGGCCATGCATGAAGCAAAGCCAACTGACCCATAAAGGGTTCAATCCCATGATCCTGATCTCAACAGCACAGCTCCAACCAACTGAGCTAATTATGGTAGAGTCAGATTCTGCTCAGCCTGCTCAGGGACGCTCTCAGCAGTTCATAGAACAATCTTAAAACAGTGTTGTCCCAAGAAGCTATGTGACACAACATACTTGCCAACTTAACTAATGATCTCATCTTTGAAAAATCTTAATGTAATGTAGCAAACAGATGTGTCCCTTAAGAGGATTAAGGTGGAAATTCATTAGAGCAGTAATGCCAGTGGATTTGTGTTCTAAAACTAACACCGGTCAATCAACTTAGTGCACGCTCAGTCTTAGCACTACTCAGCCTCCAGGGGAACACTGAAGGACTGGACAGCAGGGTCTCACCCTTGAGGAAGCTCTCTGTGAACAGTGGAGACAGTGAGAAGTTCCGCATACTAGAGCCAGATCTAAATGACCTCTACTCCACAAGTACTTTTCTCCCCTCTTTCCACCATGCAGAATATTCCCCCATAAGGGACTCCCCCTCCTGCGAAGTCTGGGCTCAATGGGGCCTGGAAGAAACATTCCCTGTGGCTCCAGAGGTCTTTCCCACTACAGGGGTGTGGGATGACAGCTTGCCCACTCCCCCCGGTAGCAGTTCACTGCAGAGTTCATAACCATGTGTTCCCATCTCTGACTGTGAATGCTCCCACGCTAGGAATTCTGCCTCAAGACTTTTACTCATTGTTTTACCTGCCCCAGGCTAAAAGGTACTTGGCACATACAGATGACTTTGTGAACTACCCCAGTTAATGGAAGAGAAGCCCCCTTGAGATGTGGCTTCTTCTCACCACCGCACAACTGGTCTAGGGAGCAGAGCTGCACTGGGATCTCTCAGCTCCCCATTCCTAGAGAGAAACTAGGTTCCTTAATTGCTCCCTACCTCGGTTTCCTCACCTGTAAAAGAGGGAAAATAAAATTCTCTACTTCACAGTACAATATTAACCTAGATTATTCATTGACATCCCTGGTAGAGCACACACCTATAAGCCAAGGCATAAAAACTCACTAGCTCTTCTGTCACAGGTGGATCATCTGTGTTTTAAGACATCCTGATGGAAACTAACCAGTATTTAAAAATACAAACATGCCCTCAGCACTTAAATGCCCTGGATTCTGCTTTACAGACCCTGGCTAATGGAATCAGCCCCTCACTCAGCACTAGATGTGAAAAACAATGCCAAACATCTGAATACACTGCAAGGATCATTGGGCAAAAGATTCTGAGACTGAGGTTGGATGACCCCTGAGCCAAAGGGTTGAGGGTCTCTGTGGGGGGGATACCTTCTGGGTCTGGTTATTCCATAAGGGCCACCTCAGAGAGTCTGTGAGCCAGGACAACTGCTGTGCTGTGGCTTCTAGTTTGGAGAAGTGGAGGCAGGAATGCTGGAGCATCAGGATTTGCTCCTACCAGACCAGGAACACTGGATCAAAACTATGAGACTATTTCATGGAAACATAAAAATGTATATCAACCTCCAGCTTGAAAGGTCAACTCCTGCATATACAGCTTAAGATCCAAGGAAACCACTTCAAGGTCACAGGGCCACAATTACAAGTCTTCTGCAGTTTCAACAAAAGATCACTGTAATCAGAGACCATTGTGAATCATGATGCCGAAGAAGCCCTTCAAAAACTTTCAACTGAAACCACTGATTGAAAAGAACCAAATAACTTACAAAATTGATTCTGATACGCTGAATCCACAATACATCATCTGTCCCTCCATGTCCCAATCCGACCTGCTATTACGACAAGAGGTTTCCTCCAACAGAGACTGTATTGGTCTTGCACCAACAGGGAGAGAATGAGATAGAACAGCCCCATTCCTGAAAACAGGTTACTAATTAAGTAGAGGGGAGCACTGATACAGTGCTAATAGAGAAAGAAAAAAATCACTGCCAAAGGTCACCCCTTTCCTCATATAACCTTCCTTCCTTACCCGCCAGTCTTCCAAGACAGGTGAACATCATACAGAAATCTCAAGAATTTTTTAATCAAATTTGTTCTTTTGGGCATCAAGGGTTATCACCAAGTTCTGATAGGAACCCTAAGCAAAAAAAAAAAAAAGTACCGAGGAAGTAATTATTCAAGATGCAGTATGTTAAATCGGCAGGAAGGGTGCTCCTGGGTGACTCAATGGTTAGTTAGCTTTTAATGCCCAGCTCTTTGCACAAACACTTTGCAAGATGCCTGTCCTCCTGCAAAGGGTTAAAAAGGAGAATGGTTTAAAAAAAAAGAACTATCGGGTGGACTGAGAAGCCATTCTTCCCAGGGGACACTTCATTTCGGGCTTGGAGGCTCAGGCTTTGTGCGCGCGCCGCCCCCCTGCGCCCCCGCCCCTCCTCCCACAGAGACGGCCCCTCCAAGGTTCCCAAGGCCACCTGCTTCTTCTCCAAAGAGAAAGAGGCTGCTCGGAGCGCTATTGCAGCGCGCGGTCGGCGGCCCCGCGCTGCCCCGCGGGGGAGGCGGGAGCGGGTCCCCGGGAAGCGTGCTTTGTAGCCGGGGTCGCGCGGTCCCTACCGCTGCCCCAGAGGCCCAGAGCTCGCCTCGGAGGGACCTGTGGCGGGGGGTGCCGGGGTGTCTCCCTCGCCTCGCTCGGCGCCAGCGAGGGTGCCGAGGATTCATAGTCGGCTTCCGAATCCCACCCCGCCCACCCCGCGGAGTTAACGGCGCGGCGCCCGGGAACCTTCCCCAAGCCGCCTCGGGCAGAAGGCGGCACCTGCTCGGCTGCGCCCGAGATCCGGGCAGTCCTTGTCGCCGGCCGAGAGACTCCCAGCTTAGGGCCGGGGGCCAGGACCCCTCAGCTAACGCGGGGCGGCGGGGGGGGGGGATCTGCCCTTGGGCGCTCGTTCCCCTGGGCCGGTGCCTGCCCACGGGCCCCCACCCGGAGCGCCCCGCCGCAGGGGCTGCGTCCCAGGGGCCGGGCCGTACCTTGTGCGGCGCCCGCAGCAGCCGGTGGACCCCGGCCAGCTGGGTGCCCAGCGCGAGGTCCTCGCGGAAAGCAAACAGCGGCGGCCGGCTTGGTTCTGGGAAGTTGGTGCTGTTGAAAGGGTCGGTGTCGTCCAAAAACTGCACCCGGCAAGCCAGCGTGGCCATGATGCATCCCGGCCGCGGGGGGCGCAGGCCCCGGGATCAGCGGGGCCGCGGGCGGGGATGCCGGGGTCACCGCGAGCGAGAGAGGCCGCGGCCGGCAACCCTGGCTCCCGAGCCTGGTCAGGGCGCCGGGCTGCTGCCCGGCTCGGCCGCGGGGGGCGGGCCGGGGGCGGGGCCGGCGGACCCCTTTCTTCCCCGCCTTCTCCGGCTCCTCCCCCGCCCCGTCCCCTCTGCGCCCGGCGGGGCTGCCCGGACCCACGCCGCCCGCCGCGGGGAACCGCAAAGCCGGAACGGCCGCGCGGCCCCCGCAGTCCTGCGCAGCAGCCTGTGCGGCCTGGGGCAGGGGCGCGCCGACTCCCGCAGCGCCGACGCCTCTCGGGCTGCACGTGCGCGCTGCACCTTTCGGGGCTCCGAGAACCGGGGATGAGGGGGTCGGGGGGACAGAGACGGGAGCGCCAGGGCCGCCCCGCGGCTCCTTCCCTGTCCGGGGGAGGGCTTCACCCTTTCCAGATAAAGGCAGCGGCCACTGCACGCCAGCTACCCGCTTTCGGAAAACCCAGGGCGCGCCAGGGGGCGCCAGGGGGCGAGGGAACCGGCCCCCCGGCAAGGTGGCAGCAGCCGCCGGGAACCGGGACAGGGTAGCGGTGGTGGTTTCCCGTGGAGAAGGAAGCTGAGGAAATGGGCGAGGGGGTAACCTCGGTAGCTCTTAAGAAAAAGGCCCGAAGGCGCCGGGTTAGCAGCCTGGGGACTGCGAGGCTCCACCACCAGACGCCGCTGCCGGGCCTGGCACGCGGCTGGCCGATGTGTGTTGGTTGAGCTCGGCATCACTGCCATCTTGTGGGGCCCAGAGGGCGCTTCTGGCTGGTTCGCAGAATTGCGGAGGGGCGTCGGAGAGCTGGGAGTCCGCTGGCAGACTTGGCGGGGAGGGGGGGGGGTGAAGAGGGGAGATTTGCAACCTGGTGGCCTTCGCCTTGCAGAAACTGCGAGACTCCTGTCTCCCGCGGTGCTGCTCCGTGCTCGTGGGCGACCCCATTCGTTTCCAGTAAGACCTTACTGTTCTCTCCATACCCAGATTGCACCCCAAGATCCTGGTTCTCTCACCTCTAATAGGTCGCAAGGATAATGCCCGGTTGCTCTTAACATTTGCTTCTTTATCAGGCAGTTCTGCAACGTGTCTCGCTCCCGTTCTTCTGGGTTCAAAAAGTAAGAAACCCTGGGCCTACACTGAGCCTCTTCGACCTTCCTTCTGCGTGGACACTCACGATGCGTCACAGTCACATAACAATGATCTATGACACTTCTGCTCATTCCAGTAAGGAGTTGCTTTTGGTATTTAACTCTGAAAGTGTCCGCTAGACTCACCAATTTCACCATCAGTTCATGATCAGAACATTAAACCCACCAATTCTGTTCCTTTGACATTGGCCTCTTACCCTGCCTACATCTTGCATTGCCACCTCGCTCCTGCCAAGAGTCCTTCTGTCCTCCCTCCCTCCAGTCCTGCCCACTTACTCCCCTCCCCAGCATGTGGCCTCCTAGCTGCACTGCTCCTTCAGCCTCACCTGCCCAGGGAGGCCCTGGCTTGCTCCTGCCCCATCTGCCAAGCACCCACTGGTAATGGGACCACTCTCAACGACCCATTTCTAAACAGGAATCCTCAGCAATACTCGGTGTGGCCTCCACTACCCTCATAAAGTGCAAACTTCCACCACTGCCCTCTACCTACAGATTATTCAATAAGGAAAATCATCTCTAGAGCACGAAATCCTCCCCTTCCAGTGCCCCCTCCTCTCCCTCCTCCAACTCCTTCATCTCATGACCCAAGCCCTATTTCTTCACTTGCTCAAGGCTCTACCTCCATCTGGACCCTGAGGCCCTCCCTTCCCAGTTGCTCTGGGACAAAGCTCTGTCACTGAGCCAATTCCCTTCTTCCTTCCTCCTGGGCATCTGCCCCCAAGAATTATGGCTTCCTGGCATGCAGCCTATGCAGTCACACTGGCTTAATACTCTGCTCTTGCTTTCTTGAAATTCGTATTTTTTTTTAACAAGAGGCCCCAAATTTCCATTGTGCACCGGGTTCAGTTATAGGGCTGACCTTGATGAGAATAAATACTCAAGTGTTTTCCATCTCAGAAACAACACCTTTATGAAATCTGCCTGGCACTGGCTTATCGCCTCTTCACTTCCTGGCCAAAGAGCTATGTTCATTTCTCAGCATCCTCGCTCCCTCTTTGCTTCACACCCCATGGCATCTGGTAGGCAATCCTACCTGCTGTCCTGGGCTCATCGATACCACCTAACCGCCTCATCCTAAGGACAGCTGAGTCCTTCAATCCATTTCCTTAGCAGCATCTATCACCATGGAGCACTCCTTTCTCGAACTCTCTTCTCAGTCTCAATACCCACACATTTGCTTTCTCCTCTTTACAACTTATTCTCAACTCCCTCTAGACTCTGTTTTCCTCTTAAGAATTGGTCATCACAGCTACCACTACTGTTAATCTATTCTCGGTGCTTTCACTCAACTGAAAGCTTCTCCGGAACAGGGACAATGCTGCATTCAACCCTATAACTCCAGTGCCCTGTAGAATGCCTAGCACAGAAAAGGCACACAATAAATTTCTGACAATTAACTGAACATCAGAGTCATCTTTGAATCCTATATCTTGCATTTGTCACTATGACCTGTCATTGAATCAGCGTCTGAAATATTTCTCAATGCCATTGTCCTGCCTGCATCTCCCTTTCTGTGCTAGTCTTCTAATTAGTCTCCCTTCCCTGGCCTGCGTCCTGCATTTGACCTTCCGTTGGCTTCCCCAGAGCCAGTGATCACACTGAGATGGGCATTTATGTGCCACACCTTAGGGTAAAATACTATATGCCAGCCCCCTTTGCATGACTCACAAGCTCCTATAAGATCTGCCCCAATCCATTAGTCCAGAATCATCTCTGGTCATTCCCCTGCTTCACACACTGCATCCAACCACATTGAACTTACTACCTTTTCCCAGACATACTGCAATTTTTCATGGTGAGCTTCTCAACCTGGAATGCTCTTCTGTCTAGTTGGTTAGCTTAACCCACTTATCCTTCAATATCCATTTCTAATATCAACTCTTCTAGAAAGCCACCTCCATTTCACCCTGAAAAAGGATTGTCTCTTTCCTCTGTGGTCTCAAATTACTTTCTACACTTCCCTATTGTAGCACTTTTCATGTTACATTGTAGATTCATGTTTGCCTGTATGTCTACCCCACTAAACTAAAAGGCTTTTCGGGGTTAGAATTTGTCTTAAATTTCTGCCTTAAAACTTCAGATAGGGACTGCCATCTAAATTAAGCCTTTACAATGTTTAATCATATAGGTTATCCATAATTCTTTCAAGGACATTTGCCTCAAAATGACTCCTAGCAATAATTTTTTCCTCTGATTAACAGCCAATTATTTTTCAATCTATTTTTTGCAGTCAATCTTTTTTTAGTAACACAATACTTTCTCTTAGCTTAAAAGGTCAAGAGTAATAAAAAGTTAAAACTAAAAAAAAAAAAAAATCAGCACTTATTTTACAAGCTCCATCCTCACCCCACCCCAACTTGCAGAGGCACTGACTTCCAAACAATGTTAAGTTCACTGTTAAACTTTGATCTAAGAATTTTAAAATATATACTGGCTTTTTATCATATTACATGAAGATTTCAGTTTTATTACAAAACACTTCTCTCTCTTCATCTTCCCAATGTAGTTTTACCACAATTTTAGTTAGATTCTCACTCGGTAACAAGAATTATATTAATATTGCTCATTCTTGTGCTAAGTAGTACACGTGATTTACATGACCTTTCATGTACAACTCTGATTTTCCTGAAGTAAATAATTTGCTTTAATTGTTCTCAGGTGCTTTTTTTTAAACAGCTAATTAGATCTCAACAGCTCTGAAATGCCTGTCATTAATAATGTCAAGTAATTCTTCAGTGCTGCATTTTCCCCTAAGGCATCCTTCTCAGGGATATTCCCCTGGAAGTTCTTTATCCTCCTGTTTCAATATGGGTCATGGCTCTTGGTTTTGGCTTGTCTTTTAGGTGGGAGCACCTGTTTCCACATCACTTGTCATTCTTTCTTGATTTATATTTTTAATTTTTATTTTTTTTAATAAGCATATCCTAGTGTAGGGTAAGGAAAAATGTCAGGCTTTTCTGCCCTCCCGCCATCAGGATAGATGATGGATCCTTGCGGTCCTGAATGCATGCCTGATGGTGGGCACCTGGAGTAGGGTGTGGGCATAGGTAGATGGGATTCACCTGGGCTGAGACTGGGCTTTTAAGGGCGGCGTCACGGGGACACCAGCAGAAGCCAAAAGAGGAGCCGAGAGGGAAGCAAGAGAAGCAGAAGCTGAGAGAAGGCCGGAGAGCCCAGAGTGAAGACCTGCCTCCCAGCCCCGCAGCGCCCCTGCCTGCCTTGTACCTGGTAATCTAAATAAAAAGACCTGCAAAAAGCCACTAAGGACTCTGACTCCTTTACCCGGTCTGCTGGATCATAGAAAACCTGCACTGTGTCCATTCCTGCCCTTACACCTAGTAACTTCCCAAGAAAAAGACAAGCTTTTTTGAGAATGTTTATGTTTGGAAGTATCTCTCTTCTCTATCCTCACACTCATCTTGGTGAGGCAGTTTTGCTGACAAATACGGTCACATCATTTTTGCACACACACCCCGCTTTTTCTTCCCACCATTTCTGCCCTTTGAGTTTGCCACTTCTATCTAGAGGTGGCTATTATTTCCTGCTCCTTGAATGAGCATGGCTTTGTGGCTTGCTCTGACAAATAGAGTATGTTGGAAGTGGCATTGTGAGGCTTTTGAAATAAGCTCTCAAGAAAACTTACAGGATCTGCTCTCCCTCTGGGAGTGTTGAACTGAGATCTAGTCTAGGAAATGTGGTAGGAAAATTGCTACTGAAGACTGGGAACATGGTTCTCTGTGTTAAGCGGCACTGAAACAATTGATAAAACAATTGCCTACAATAATGTGGAAGATAGAAAATGTATCTAATGAACTGTGGATTTGGCTAAGGAC